TTGTGAATCTGAACCACTAGTAGACTGTAAAATCAACGTCATGACTAACTACAGGTTTTATTTAAAGGATCACAAGGAAACTACTAGGATCCATTGTATGGAGGGAGCACAAAAATTTTGTTTAAATGTGTGCTAGGTCATATAAAATTATATATTTCTTATTGCCTCTTGTGTTCAAAAAAAGTTTGACTAACTCTATTCTACATAGACAGTTATAGGTCTAACGCATCATCTAAATCTTTTTCTTATTTTTTTTCCCCATGTTATGTGACAACAAGACTATTGAGAGAGGAATGCAAAACCACTAGCTGATGTTCAGCTTTTCTATGAAGTAGCTGCACCTTTTGGATGCTTCTTTGCTTGTGATCTGAGATTCTGGTGTACCACAGGTCCTTCTCATCTCTGGCCACATGTTAGAATCACCTAGGGAGCTTTGTAAAAATACTAGTGCCCAAACCTGATTCCAGTTCATTTATATCAGATCTAGGTGAAGCCAAGGGGTTTGTGTCAGTTTAAAGCTGATCAGGTTCTTACTAGACCTGCCCTATTTCCCATTGCTATGCACTGAATTGTGGCCGTCCAAATCCTAGCCTCTATTCCTGAGGTTATAATCCCAGTGTGCAATGGATTGTCCTTATGTTAATGAGACAAGATTAGTGCAAAATGTACCTTGAGTCAAAGTCCTTTGTGATATAAAAGAGATTAAAAAAGCAAGTGAAAGAAGCAGAGATATGGGAAGATTGATGCTAAGCCACATGGAGACCTCCACGGAGCCAGGAAAGAAGCTGAAGAGACAGAGACCTTCCCTCAGAGCTGACAGAGAAGGAAGGCCTGCCCCCAGAGCTGACAGAGAAGGAAGGCCTGCCCTAAGAGCTGACAGAGGAGCAAGGCCTGCCCTAAGAGCAAACTCCCGAAGCCAGACTTCCAGCCTTCTAAACTGTGAGAAAATCAATTTGTTTGTCAAAGCCATGCACTTGTGGAATTTCTGTTATCACAACACTAAGACACCCATCATTATGTTTGCTTCTCTCCATTTTTCCTACCACAGCCTTCTTTGCCATCGCATCTAAAGATTTTATTCTTCCTTCTGACAGTCTCCAGTAAATCACTCTCATTGGGACTTCAGGACAAACATTGTCCTGATCGTTCTTATTTTCTTCCTGATTATCTGAGTCTTTACAAAGTTGGCCTTTAGATGCCTGGAAAAAAAACGATGTGGGCCTGTGCTCCTCTAACTTCACAAGGAGAAGAGAGAATCACCATTAGCGTCAGCTGCCCAAGGCTAATTCCTATGAGGTGGAGGTCAGACATGCTGCCACCCTCAACCTTTTCACTAGTTCTGACACCAACTATTCCTCCCATGGCACTCTACTTCTATGCGGGTTGAGAATTTGTTGCAATGGCCACACAGAACTCATGGCAAATACTCATGATTATAGGGGTTTATGAGGGAAGTAATAGGATACAATTCAAGTTCAGGAATACTCAGGATATAATTCTTTGATCAGAACAGCCTCCCCTCAGCCATACCCATAGGCCCACATTGCTCTAGCTGTTGGCCCCTGGGTGTGGCCTCTGCTCTGCTCAGGTAAGTGTTACAGAGCTCTTTAGCCCCGAAGATAGGTGCCCAGAGAAGCACGCCACTCTGCCAGCCAGGTTCCTGGCTGAAGGCACTTAGCTTTCTCACTCTGTGAGCTGGGAAGCCTAATGCTCTGTCTCTGTCAGTGTCTTTGTCTACTGCCTCTGCTGCAGTGACCATCTCTCCCTGTTTCTCATCATCTCAGCAAAGTGTTACAGCTCTCTCTCTCTCCTGGATTGAGGAAGTTCAGCACAGGGATCTTGGGTCCAAAGGATGCACTCCACTCATGGGTCTTCTTAATTGACAGTAGTGAGAACCCCCTTTTCTGCTTCTGGGATGGATCATTTTAAACCAAGCAGGAAAGCAAAACTGACCAATCCCCATATTAGGGTTCCATACACCTTATTTCCATAGTCCACCCCCACAAGGATGCCATGTACCTCACTGACATTATTAACAAGCTCTCCAGTCCCCTTGGTGGGCCACAAGCAGTGCACACTTGTGTAGTCCCAACCAGTCATCTGGGGGGAGTCCCACAGACCGTGGCTAGAGTAGGTAATTAGCCATATTAGGTAATTCACTGCTCCACAATTCTCTACCCAAATCCAGTTCACCACAAGATCTCCTTAAGTCAGGTGGCTGGGATTTCATACTCCAGCACCCGTCAGTCATTGGTAAAGGTTTTGCAGGCAGGGAGCAACTGGTTGCTATAGGACTGACATAAAATGCCCAGCTAATTCCACCTCCCTGAGCCATCCAGGCAAAGTAGCACCAGTAGTCCCAGGGCAGCCTTCCTCAGAAGGGTCCTTGAAAGGAAAAGGAAGCCATAGGTGTGAGAGGGGAAAGGGGATCCCAGTGGATGCTGTGCGTGGAGCCACTCCTCGGAAGGAAGGTTGGGCAATCCTACTTCCGTAGTGATACTGCCTCGGAAACCCAAGGAGGGGTCGCTATGAGTCGGGGCCGACT